ATAATAGAAGATAAATTGACCACAATGATTAGTACTGTCAATAGTATTGTCCTTGACAAAGTAGATAAAGAAGAAATACGAAACATTGTAAAAAAAAAACTGTGGAAACAAACGATCAACTGATTTTCAGGACTTGGACATGATAACTGTTAAAACCATCATAGAATCTGTCATTGAACCATTCACTTAGATTTGTAATTTATCACTTTCTACTGGACATTTTCCTGATGCAGTGAAAACCGCAAAAGTCATTCCTTTGTATAAGAGTGGTGATAAACACAGTTTCAATAATTACAGGCCAGTGTCACTGCTTCCACAGTTTTCTAAAATATTAGCAAAAATATTTGTATCAAGGTTGGATAAATTCATTGAAAAGAATAATAAACAATGAACAATATGGGTTTAGAACAAAACATTCCACAGCAATGGCAATAATGGAATTAACGGATAAAATATCAACAGCAATTGACAATAAAAATTATTTCATTAGTGTTTTCATTGATTTGAAAAAAGCATTTGATGTCATTGATCACTCACAGTTACTTCGAAAATTAAGTCAGTATGGAATAAGAGGTGTGGCTCATCAATGGGTTAAAACTTATTTAGAAAAAAGGAAACAGTTTGTTCAGATAAAGGATAATAAATCAAAACTATGTGATATTAGTTGTGGAGTGCCACAAGCAGGGTCAGAAATTAACACTCGCCACTCGCCAAATGCGAGCAAATTGCTCCATTTGGCGAGTACGTTTTTGAGCTCTACCTACCACCTGGCGAGTAAATGTTTGCACCAAATTAGTTATGTTTATCAGTCATCTTCCATGGATTTCTGATACTCCTCCCGCCTGCAAGCAACGTACACAAACGTACGCGAAACGTGAACGCAGCATCCAACTTCATTTCCACCTATCCCATTCAATCAGTTTATCAAGTTAGCAGTTACCTTCGTGTTAAAACTAGCGGTGAAATGTGGCGGTTTTTAACTGGAGTCAGCCAGCCTTCCAAAAGAAAACTCGTCGAACCGGAAGAAAAACCACCAGGACCAGTGGCAACCAGAAGATTTTGTGAAAAGTGGCGAACTGGAGATGGCGGAGTCGTGAGACAATGGCTACATTATGATGGCCACGTACACGTTGCTGCCTTTCACAGACAACTGTCCCTCGACATTCTTCAAATATCCAAAAAATGCCCATACTTCCAACTTTGTCTTCTTTGAGGGATAATAAATGTCCCAAGTGCTGCCGTCTCCTCCTGCCATTATTTCAGCTTTAGCTTAAAGAAAGTTTTGGTCGTAAACAACAAAGTGCGCATGTGCCGCTGGCAACTTCAGCAGATGATACGGTGGCTGGTAAGGGTCACCGCGCCTACACCGCAGCCACGGTAATCCACCGAGATAATTTTTTTTAAAAACAAGACGGTTATTATTATTGTCAACTTTTTTTTACCGGGGTTTACCGCTACACCGGTTACCGTGACAACCCTAGCCCTGACACACTTTCAGATATTCTCATGGTGCAGCTGTGTTCTCCAGAGATCAAGGACTATGACCCAAATGAGGCTGTAATGCTTTGGCACAAAGACGGTGTCAGAAGCAGGAGGCCAGACGTCATGGACAGAGAAAACAAGGAGTCTGATTAGATTTCAATGAAAGAGTTCATAAAAACATCTCTAAAAATAAATAAATAAATAGTAAAAATGACAAAATAGTTGTTTTTCTTATTAATTGATGTTTTAATTACTTTGTCACTCTGTTTGGAATCAACATAATACAGAATTGCTTGCTTTAGGTAGATCTAAATCATTTAGAATTTTGGCCAGTAAAAGATATGCTTGGCCGGTAGATTTTCATCATCTACCAGCCAACTTGGCCGGTGAGTAAAAAATTTAATTTCGGACCTTGGCCACAAGGGTCGGTCCTTGGACCAGAACTGTTCATTTTGTTTATTAAAAACTTGGTAAATGTATCTAAGACACTCGGTACCATTCTGTTTGCAGATGATACAACACTGTTTTACTCAGGATCAAATATTGAGGAGGGGGCTAAAGTGATAAATGATGAACTGATTAAAATTAAAAACTGGTTTGATATAAATAGATTGACACTGAATCTTAATAAAACAAATTTTATACTGTTTAATGATAAAAAGAACAGTGATGTGTCATTGGAAATAGATGGGACTGAAATTCAAAGAGTAAAAGAAACTAAATTTCTTAGAGTTCTTATTGATGAAGACTTGACATGGAAATCCCATATTAGTTACATAAAAGGTAAAATTGCCGAATCTGTAGGAGTATTACATAGAGTCAAGTTTTTAGTGACTAATTCTGGTTTGTTGGCATTGTACAATTCACTGATTGCTCCATACTTGACATATTGTGCAGAAATCTGGGGAGCAACATACAAAAGCTATACACAACCCTTATCTATTTTACAGAAAAGAGCTTTGAGAATCATCAGTTATAGTGGCTGTAGAGATACATCAAACCCATTGTTTATTAAATATAAATTACTGAAATTTCATGATTTAAAAGACTGGAAAATCTTACAAACCATGTATAAAGCCAATTTAGGTAATCTGCCAACAAACATTCAGGGGATATTTGAAAAGAGATCTAGTAATTACATGCTGAAAGAAACTGATGTGTTTACAAAACCCAGATTTAGAACTAAAATTACGGAATGGAATATATCTGTAAATGGTGTTAAATTATGGAATAACCTTAAAAGGGAAATATAAAAAACTATGTCATTTAATGTATTCAAAAAATGTACCAAATTGAGTGTACTAAATAATTATGAAAATATAAATTAAATCAATGATCATGATTGCACTGGAATTAAGAACAGGAAAAAGTTCTAAATAAATCTGTATGTGTGTCTGACAAATGCAAATTGTACATAAATATATTATTTCTTCTGGAAAAGAGGGCAGAAGTTATAAGAAGTTTTTCTTCATTCTGCTCATTTTCGTTCAAATTAGATTTGTTGTTGTTATGTATTGTTTATATGTTTTATTTGTTTTGATTTTGAATGAAATAAACAAATTAAAAAAAAAGTGAGATGTCCAAATAACAGGGAAAAAGAGTTCAGATCCTGTCGTTTGAAGCTCAGTTGTGATGCGGCTCACTTCTAGTTCCTGAAACGGGTGCACTGGAGATTTTTTTACCCAGAGAATGACTTACAAGGCATTCATTCCTACTAGAGACCACTGAAAATCTATTGATTAAACAAGTGTTTAACACTTGAACATTTTAATCAAATTTCTGTTTTGTTACACAAGATATTGCATCAGAAAATAACTCATAGTTTCTTCTGTTGTTATTCTGGATCCACTGGGTCCAGTCCATCACTGGCAGCAGTCTGGGAGGACCCTCGGTCTTGAACAGTTATTCCTTTTTAGAGGAGGGTTACACACGAATCAACTTAAACCTCATAGTTATTACTTTAAGAAGTAAATAAAGTAAGTAAAGACTATGAGTAAGCAGCTTCAATTTAAGTTAATTTATGTAAAAAACAATGCAGGAAAATGGTACAGAAATACGGAGTTTTCATAATAGCATTTTGAGGGAGATTGCTTTTTAGAGTGAGAAATTGGAGGTGTGGCATGACAGCATGGGCGGGGGTTGCACATGTCTCAGGCTAATTGCATGCAGCCATGTGACATAATATTGTATAGCTGCAAATTAGAATACGGGAATGTGGCAGGATCAGTGTGTCACAAATGTTATCCTATGCTTAAAATGTGAAAACCATGGGTGTTGCAGTGTCTAGTCTGACTGTGGAAAGAACAAAGTTTCTCTGAACATGACTTAGGTCTTTCTCAGAAAGCAAACAAATTATGCAACAACCCCAAAGAAGTAAGATGTACGACAGGAAACTTTATATGTTACAATTTCAAAATTATCCATGAATTAGTTGAATCCATTTACATGATATGAAAATAAAAACACAAAGAAAAACATACAATTGATGGTTTTAGCAAGCTCATCAATTATTAATCAGGCAAAAGCAGCAGTGACTTGCAGTGAGGTACATGACTGGGGAGGCACGACTGCTCTGGAGTCAGACTTACAAATATGTGATCCCAAAATAGAAGTTTGTATTTTATTTTTTTTACCTTGAATTAACTATTTTTTTTAAACTTCTTAGTTATGGTTTAATTAATAGCATACTAATTAACAATACACTAGAACACACATCACTCCCATTCAATTGTCTCTGCACTGGTTACCCATTAACTTTAGAATCTATTTTAGAGTCCTGACTATAACTTTCAGGGCCCCACATGGTCAAGCTCATCCCTATATTACTGAACTGTTAAAGCCTTATGCTCCAACCCGAGCCCTCAGGTCCACACACCAGAACCTTCTAGAAGTTCCAAAGACCAGATATAAAAGTTGAGGTGATCGCTCCTTCCAGACTGTTGCACCCCGACTTTGGAATGATCTTCGTTTATCCTATCGTAGCACTGACAGTCTGGACACTTAAAAAACAGCTAAAGACCATTTTATTTAAAGCTGCTTTTCCCTAAACCTTTTATTTTCTTACCTTTAACTAAAATGTTTAATATGTCATCTGCATATGAAATTTTATAATTGTATTACTTTATTTTCTCTGATGTTGATCTATTTCTGTTTTGAGATCATTATGATTTTATGACTTTGTTTTATTTTGTTTTAATCTATGTGAAGCACTTTGTGATTCTATGTCTGTGATAAGTAAAATTTACTTACACTAACAAGAAAAGTAAAATGTTATTTAATTTTTGGGCAAATTTGACTTAAAATGTATTCATTGTTCTTGGTATAGCTCTTTTATTACAGCTGAAAGTCGTGTATGATCTTACCTTTATGTGTTTATGACGTCCAGGAACCTGACATCTGCACCACTCTGCTGTAAAAATCATCCTCTAATATCTCCTGTTCTGACTGAAAATCCAGTTCAAATAAATTATTAAGTTTTGAGCCATAAATCTTCTATTCAGTCTGAGCAAATAGTTCACCCTTGGAGACCTGTCAGCTCCACACCCCAGCACTGTGAAGAAGAGCTAGTTTACACAGGTGTCTACGGAGCTCAACACTGCCCCTATCTGTGAGGCAGGGTACTGCCTGCCTCCCCCAGTGCTTTTTTTTTACTGCTTTTTAAAGGGCACTCAGAAAGACTACATTTATCACACACAGTGAATAAATATATTAAACAGAATATAGAACATCGTCAAGTGCAGCACATGTTAAATAAAACATGTGTGTTGGTGGTATAAAGACAGACAGCAGCATGCACCAACGTCCTGTTTCAGTGAATGTGAGTGGCGCAGCTCTGTGAGAATGGAGGCAGCTCTCATCTCTGCCTCCAGAGGGCACAGCACCCTTCCTGAATCATTTAGTGTGTAAGGGGCAGCGCCGTGAGAGCAGAGGCAGGCATCTCTGCCTCCCTTCTTGCTTCTGCATGTATACTTGACCAGGAAATATGTAAATTCAGCCATTTTTGATGATAAACATGATGAAATCACAAACAAAACTATTGTAGAAACCAATCATTGGATACACTGACTTGATATTAAATCATTATTAGTATTTTAATTGTCACAATGACAAGGGAGGAAGTGCCTCCTCTGACCGCACATCACTGAAAAGCAGCGTAACAAACAAATGTTATGTTTTTCTGTTTTTTAAGCTTGTTATGCACTGTAAACTAAAATGCCTAACACAGAGAATATTAGAAACATTGTGGCATTGAATCCACTTCAGCAGTTACCCTTTTGACACGTTATTGCCTTCTAACCACAGAACTGTAGACCACTTCTGTGTCGTTGTCACCATGAAAAGTCTGTAAACCAAGAGAGAATTGAACAGACTTTAAAGTGCTGATGGGTTTTCCTTTTCCGGCACACCAAACAACTAAACAGTCAGATTCATATGTAGCTGTACATCTTTCCTTTTTGTGATTTTTTTAAAAATTTTACCTGAGATGATAGTTTTCTTCTGAATCTAACATGAGTGTATGTCACTTCATCTTCAGACTGAAATTAGAAAAACAAACAATTGTGCACTTTACAAAACTTTTCTCAATTTCAAAAATGGAATTGAAGAAATTGTACAGGGAGCCTAAGTGAGGCTCTGTCATAGGTCCCCTACTGCCCCCTAAAAATGGTCATCTGTGTGTCAGGTGTTGTGTGTGGCCCTTGAGTAACAAGTAGTGCTATGAAGATTTGAAATATTTTGAATTGACAAGAGGTTAACTTTTTATTAGGGCTGTTGAAGCAACACTTGATAAGTGATCTAAACTTTTCAGATAAACCCTGTTATGCTTCTATAAGCATCACTTACCTGTTCTGAGGTTGCTGAATTTGCACATTCTGAAAGAAAGAAAGAAAGAAAGAAAGAAAGAAAGAAAGAAAGAAAGAAAGAAAGAAAGAAAGAAAGAAAGAAAGAAAACCTCTTTTTTTTTCCCAGAGTAACAATTTACAGTAACTTGGTTTAAAAAAAAAACAGCACATTGACAAACATTTTAAATCTGAATGTCTGAGTAAACTTACTGGATCTCACTTTGAACCAGATGAACAAGGCCACAGCTACAGTCATGACAAACAAAGGGAAGAGATGTTTCTTTAGACGTGGCATGTTACTTTCTGAACTGTTGTCTTCCTTCGTAGATGTAGCATTTTCTCCAACTACAGTCACGGGGTTGGACGTGAGAACACCTAAAAAAGCCTTAGTTCGTTGCATTGACATTGTGAACAATATCGGTCCCATATTATGTGTTGTGGTAACTGAAAGACAGGAAATGTAATATGTGTCAAAACTAATTTTAGACTACGGGGCATCCAGACTGTCACCTCTCACCTGCAGGTTTAACAGCAACAGTTAGGTGCACCGGCATCTGAAAGTCTCCTCTGACACAGTAATACCAACCACTGCTCTCTGGTCTCAGGTCAGTCATGATCACACTGAATACGTTATCAGCTCTTGTGTTCATAGTTACACTTGTTCCATCTATTGATCCAGATCCTTCTGTCACACATGTGCTGCCCAGTTTACACCATTTCATTCTTCCAGAGGTTCTGTAGCGACAGTTTATGGTTGTGTTTCCTCCAATAAATCCTGTCACCTCCTGACTATCCACATAGAGACTGGGAATTCCTGGATGGGAAATAAATTATGGCTGAAATCCCAGATTTCAAACAATTCTCAATAGCATTGTCTGAAAAAGAAACAACCTACGATTATCAAAAACATATATTTTAGCTTTTAGCTCACATAACCCCTCCCCCAGGCTGCCACCTTACCATGGTGGAGGGGTTTGAGTGCCCCAGTGATCCTAGGAGCTAAGTTGTCTGAGGCTTTATGCCTTTGTTAGCCCTTTGATGCATGAATTATGAAATCTTCAACCATGATTTTTTAACAATTTTTTTCATTCATCTTTAGGTGTGAATGAAACAAATTTCATATTTACATATTTTTTGTAAAACTTGATTTACAAATAATTTATTACATGTCCACCTCAGTGGACAGTGTGCAATCTGAACATGAAATATGTTGGTTTGACTTACTGAAGTACAAATGGAGGGGTTCAAATGCAATAAAGTCTTCAACAGCTGTGCTTAATAGCAAAAACAAATAAATAACAATTTTAAGTACCTGTCCACTGTAGTGACCATTATGCATCAAAGGGTTAGGGTCACCCATTGCAATCAGGTCCTAGGTGAGGGATCAGACAAAGTGCAGCTCAAAAACCCCTTATAATGAATGTTACAAATGGAAACAGTGTTCCCCCGCCCGGGGCCCATCTCTGGAGCCAGGGCTGGAGGTGGGGCATGTCGGCGAGTGCCTGGTTGCCAGGCTTTCACCCATGGAGCCCGGACGGGCACAACCTAAAGAGGAAACATGGATCCCCCTTCCCATGGGTTCACTACTTGCAGGAGGGGCCAAAGTGGTCAACTGCAATGTGTGATTGGTGGTAGCTGAAGGTGGGGACCTTGGCCTTGAGCCTCCCTAGTAAAGTCTATTCAGAGGTTCTGGAGAGGAGGGTCTGATGGATTGTCGAACCTCAGATTCAGGAGGAACAATGTGGTTTTCGTCCTGGCTGTGAAACACTGGACCAGCTCTATACCCTTAGGGAGATTCTGGAGGGTGCATTGGAGTTTGCCCAACCAATCTACATGTGTTTTGTGGATTTGGAAAAGGCATTTGACCACGTCTCTCTGGAGGCCCTGTGGGGGGTACTTTGGGAATATAGGGCACCAGGCCCTCTGATACAGGCTGTTAAGTCCCTGTATGACCGGTGTCAGAGCTTGGTCCTCACTACCAGCAGTAATTTGGGCTTGTTTCCAGTGAGAGTTAGACTCAGCATAGGCTGCCTTTTGTCACCAATTCTGTTCATAACTTTTATGGATAGGATTTCTAGATGCAGCTAAGGTAATGAGGGGATTTGTTTTGGTGGCCTAAGGATTGTCTCTGCTTTGTGCAGATGATATGGTCCTGTTGGCTTCATCAGAATTTGATCTCCGGCTCTCACTGGAGCGGTTCGCAGCAAAGTGTGCAGCAGCTGGGATGAGAACCAGCTCCTCTAAATCTGAGACCATGGTCTTGAGTCAGAAAAAGGTAAAATTGCCTTCTCCAGGTCAGAGAAGAGGTCCTGCCCTGAGTGGAGGAGTCTAAGTATCTTTGGGTCTTGTCCACAAGTTAGGGAAAGATGGAGAGCAAGATCGAAGGGTGGATTGATGCTGCAGTGATGCGGGCGTTGTACTGATCTGTCAAGAACCCCCTTCAGACAGGCCATGAAAAACGGAAATGTTCCAGAATCTGTCCGTAAGACCTTTGTGTCTGAATACAAACATCCGGATAACGTGTTCCGGAATTTATCCGGAAGAAGCCCCTAGTAACAGGTCCGGACTTGTTACGGACAAGGTGGCTACTTCAGACTGGTGAGGTAAAGTTCCGGACAAGGGGGAGGGGGAGGAGGAGGGAACTGGGGGACGCTGTGCGCACCTAGATAGCTCGCTCCAGTAGCATGCGGCGAACCACGGCAGCTCGCCTCCTACGGTACCGTCTAGACGCGCGACAGAGCGCGTCACACCGCTTCAGTGATTCCTTTAACTATTGAGCTTCATCATCCAGGTCTCTTATGCGTCTTCGTGTGCGCAGAATTATGCTTAAGCGATTCGTGATTTTTATCGTGAGAGGAGCTATAGAAATGATATTTTCTTCTTCTTCTTCTTAACATGAGTCCGACCCCCCCCCCGACGCCACCGTCAGACTTCTGGAACTTTTCCCTGCTGTGTGAAGGCAGCCGAAAGGACAAGTTCCGGTACAAAAGTGGTGTGTCTGAAAACACAGTTCCGGTTAAAAAACGGATTGAATTGTCCGCAAATGTTCCAGAATGTCTGTTTATCTGTTTACTGGTCGATCTACGTTCCAACCCTCATGTATGCTGACAAGATTTTAATAGAGACCCAAAAAAAATGAGATTGCGGATACAAGCAGTTGAAATTAGTTTTCTCTGCAGGGTGGCTGGGCTCTCCCTTAGAGATAAGACGAGAAGCTCGGTCATCGGGGAGGGTTTTGGAGAAGACTCGATGCTCCTCCACATTGAGTGGAGCCAGTTAAGGTGGTTAAGGCATCTAGTTAGGATGCCTCCTTGACGCCTCCCTGGTGAGATTTTCCAGGCACATCCAATTGGACCTAAAGGAAGACCCAGGATGTGCTGGAGAGATTTTGTCCCTCAATTGGCCAGGCAACACCTTGGGATTCCCCCAGAGGAGCTGGCCCAAGTGGCTGGGGAAAGGGAACCCTGGGCCTCCCTGCTTATGCTACTCTCCCCGCGACCTGGGCCCGGATAAGTGACCAAAAATGGATGGATGGATAGCTCACATGAATTTAAAATGTAATTATAAAAATGAAACTTACCTCTAGTGACTGACAGGCGGAAGTCAGATCCATCATCATACGCTCTTGCAATCTCCACAGCACACCGGTAGTCAGCGTATTTGTTAATTTGTTTCAACGTCACAGTGAAGATGTTTTTGTTCTTGTCATCAGAGATGGAATACTCTGAACTTAGTTGTGTGTTTGTCTTTACTGCATATGAACAGGAGGACCATCCATACCATTTACATAAATATTTCACATTGTCTCTGTACTGAGGCCTGTAGAGACAGGGGACAGAGACTGTAGCTCCAGTCTTCACTGATACTTTACTCACTGTACTTATACAGTAAATTCCTGTAATAACAGTACACACTGTTTTAGTTGTTGTTTTAGATGTACCTATTGCAAATATTTATTGCAGCTTTAAACAAAAAATGAAACCTCTAAAACACAGAAAAATAAAACACTTTTAAGTTATTGCAACTAAAAAAAACATCCTTAGACAAAGGAAGCACACAAAATATAAATAATACTGGCATAAAACAATTCCGAAATGTCACAGACCTGTAATCAAAAGATGAATCAGGGGAATAGTCAGATTAATAGCCATCTCGATGGGAACAAACAGTCTACACTCACTTTCTGCTTCCTGTTTTTAAATGTCAACTCCTCCAAAAATCACACCCTCCATGTGAGTCTAAGCTTGTGTGAAAATAAAATGCAAAAGCAATTTCCTTTGTGATTCTGGAACTATTTTTAAAGGTTTTATCCACAAAAAAAAACTTCACTTGAAAGTGATCTCTAGAAATTAAATCATTGCCTATCCCAACTGTTCTGGTCTGGGCACTAACTAGAGCTTGTTGGACTTGGAACTCGACTGAGGGTCAGTAAAACACTAAGTGAAGCATTATCCAAAAGACCTTTAACAAAATAATTTGCCACAATTGCAAAGATTGAAATTAAAATAGTATATTTGCATTTGAAACTCCTTGTTAAACAAATTGTCATTCAATTTGTCACAAGTCAGTGAAAATATATGAGGGAATAAAATCTTTTAAAAACTGAGCTTGACCATCAGATTAATTTTGTTCACAAAGATCCTAATTGGTTCTGGAAGGAAAATACCTTCCACTAATGTTTTGGACAGATTGTGTTAATTTCATGGGTGAAATTTAGGTTCATGAAATAATTTAAGCAAATAAATAAAAATAATTATAAAACAAGGTTAATCATCAAGTTTGATAGACATTAACAAATAAACCGTAATCCCATCGAAAAATCTTGTATAAAATTTTTATTTATTTATTTGTATTTAATTTGTTTCTGCAGTGTTTCTTGTGGGTTTACTGTCTTTTATCACATTATTCAATTTCTAAAACTGTCCTCACCAGGTTTGAAGAAAGGGGAGAACAGAGGCACTCACAAGAGGATGAAATGAGGGGGGACTTGAAATTGTTCTTGCACCAGTTATGGTGGGATCTGACATTGACCCATAGAGCAGAGGTCACATGAGAGTTTAACAGTTACATCATCAAGAAAGGCCACAGGTAGCTTATTGTTAGCTGAGATATTGATTTTATTCTTAAGTCCTTATTTGTAAATTACTTTGGAGAAACGCTTCTTCCAGATTCAGAAACATAAACCTGGGACCTCATTCATCGAACTTCATAGAATCATTCCTATATTCCTTCCAGTGACTGAAATTTAGAATGTTCATACGAACAGTCAAAATTTTGATTTACGAAACGTGTGGTTGCCTCTAGTGTGCATGTTCATTCTCAGTCATCAGTTGATAAATCTCACCCATGCGTACCCAGGTGCTCGTGTATGTTCACAGTCATTTACACACAGAAACTCCCTCAATCAACTATCGTTGGTCACACCATGTCCTCAGCTCGTGAGGGGATTCCCTGCATTCTTCCTGGAAAATAAAAATAAAATGTATTGACAGTGAGATCAAGGCAACAAAGTACAAGAGAACCAAACAAGTTGCTGAGGTTGTAAACGAAGTTGTGGCAGAGGAGAGGTCTCTGTCAGGAATAAAGAAATAAATGGTTCCACATAAAATTGAATATGATCAGTTAAAATAATCGGGTTGTTATTTACATTTTACATTTAATATAATCAGAGAATTTCTGCACAAACTGTCGGAAACCGTCTCAGGGAAGCTCATCTGCATGCTCGTTGTCCTCATCGGGGTCTGGACCTGACTGCAGTTCGTCGTCGTAACTGACTTGAGTGGGCAGTCACTCACATTCGATGGCGTTTGGCACGTTGGAGAGGCGTTCTGTTCTCAGATGAGTCCTGGTTTTCACTGTTAGGGCAGATGGCAGACTGCATGTGTGGCATTGTGTGGGTGGGTGGTTTGCTGATGTCAGCATTGTGGAACGCATGGCCCATGGTGGTGGTTGGGCACTGGTATTGGCAGGTGTATGTTATGAACAACAGACACAGGCGCATTTTTTGATGGCATTTGTTGAGCCATTCATCTACGACCATCACCTCATGTTGCGGCATGATAACCCACAGCCCCATATTGCAAGGATCTGTACACAATTCCTGGGAGCTGAAAACATCTCAGTTCTTGCAAGGCCAGCATACTCACCAGACATGTTTCCCATTGAGCATGTTTGGGGTGCTCTGCATCGGCATATACGACAGCGTGTTCCAGTTCCTGCCAGTATTTGGCAACTTCTCACAGTTATTGAAGAGGAGTGGACCAATGTTCCACACAACCTGCTCAGCTCTATGTAACGGAGATGTGTTGCCCTGCGTGAGGCAAATGGTCACCACACCAGACACTGACTGGTTTTGTGCCCCACAACCCCTCATAAAGCTAAACTGTAAAATTAAAATTGCTTCAGGTACTTGCTATTTGTTAGGTTTGTTACATATTTACTGATGTTGTTTGTTTTTTATTTAGTCAATTTATTTTAATTCTTACTTAAGAAAAAGGGACAGTGATTAATACGTCTCTTCTATCTGCTCCCTTATATTCTACAGTTGTGGCCGAAGGTTTTGAGAATGACACAAATATTAGTTTTCACAAAGTTTGCTGCTAAACTGCTTTTAGATCTTTGTTTCAGTTGTTTCTGTGATTTACTGTAAAATGATTGCGAGCACTTCGTATGTTTCAATGGCTTTTATCAACAATTACATGACATTTATGCAAAAAGTCAGTATTTGGAGCGTTGGCCCTTCTTTTTCAGGATTTAGGTGCAATCTTAGTAGCCACAACATCCTTGCCTGTGAAGCCATTTTTATGCAACCCAATGATGGCTGCACGAATTTCTTTGCTGATCACCATGGTTAACAATGGAAGAACAATGATTTCAAGCATCACCCTCCTTTTAACATGTCAAGTCTGCCATTCTAACCCAATCAGCCTGATCTCCAACCTTGTGCTCGTCAACATTCTCACCTGAGTTAACAAGACGATTACTGAATTGATCTCAACAGGTCCTTTAAAGACAGCAATAAAATGCAGTGGAAAGTTTTCTTTGGGATTAAGTTAACTTCCATGGCAAAGAAGGACTAAGCAATTAATCTGATCACTCTTCATAATATTCTGGAGTATGTGCAAATTGCTATTATAAAAGCTTAAGCAGCAACTTTTCCTATTTCTCATATTTGTATCATTCCCAAAGCTTTTGGCCACGACTGTAACATTAGACTGAATTGTTATGTTTGTGTGTTGTTTTATTAATGTTTTGTTTTGAATTAAATAAATGTGCAAAAAGATGGTGTATTTTTTCTGGTTACCAATTCTGGAATTTGGGTCCTGGATAAGCCACGTCTCCAAACATGTTTTCTAAAAACTCAACATTTTAGATTGTTACAGAAACTAGAAGTATAGAATATAATCAAGTGTAACGCAGTGTGGTACATATACATCTTTCCTTGGACTGTACTTGGTGTTCTTTGCTTAAAACAATATATGATACACAGAAATTCAAGTAAATTATTTTCAGTGTTTTTATTTTCCCCTTATACATAGCTGTTGCAGATATAAATATTGTTAAGGCTGGGGCTTTTCATGGTCTTTTTATTATTATTTTTACATGTTTCACTTCCCTCTGCCTTTGTTTCCCCTGCGGTGCTAGATCGAAGGAGTAACTTCTGCCCTTCATGTGTTCAGAGGAGCTGTTCTACAGCACCAGGGGTCTCATTTATCAAGCATAGCGTAGAATCTTTACTAAAACCGTACTTAAGCTCAGCAAAAAAAAAGTACTTACGGCAAGTAGGTTTGTGATCTATCAAACATGGAGTACGCACAGCTGCACGCAATCTCCCCTTCATAAATCAGAAACTATATACAAATGTTCTGAGCTGCTTTTTAGTCACATCCCACCCTCACCAGGCCCACTTACTGCCATAAATAGTCAATGCAAAGTGCCTTGTGGATCTCATGTACATACATAAGCCAGCTGTTGCAGCGCTCCGCCAATGACAATGGCAACCGTAGATCAAGGCAGATCAAGGAGGCGCTATTTCACAAGCAGAAGTTGAGGTACCTGTGGGTGAGGTGAAGAAATGAAAGGAAGTGCTTTTGCAAAACAAATAAGAGAAAATCCACTGAGTGGCACAGCGTTGCTGAAGCTGTCAATGTTGTAAATTCTTCAGAGGCGGATTTTAAAAAAATGGTCCAATCAGGATTCGATCCCCAGACTTCAAGGTGTAAGTCACGCATGCTAACCAGTCACCCAAACGAAAATCTCCCTTGTCCAAGTAGCAAGGGTGTTACAATCCAGGCTGTCTAGGGGGCCTGGGGTAACAATTGAGGACGCATGTTCTCGTGTTCAAAGTAACAAAACAACATTTATTTACATAAATATAAACACAAAACACAGATTAACAAGACACATCAGCAGCAACACAAAACGAGTAACAACTAAATTCTCATATTAACCAAATCAATACCAAAACTATGAAAGACCATCACATAATTTCCTTTTTACCTAGTGATGTCTTATTTAAAACAAGCGAAGGTGTAAAGTTTCCTTTACACCTAAAAAGGCTGATGGTCAAACACAGAGAGTTTCCTAAGCACCCACCAAAGTTGTCACATAATATTTTAACTTAACAAAACCAAAAGCTGCTGAGGAGACAGCAGACCAGAGAGAACCTCCTTGGCCTGCTGCTCACTGAACTGAGAGCTGGCTGACTTTTATGCTGCTGGCAGAGCTGATCAGGATCAGCTGGGAGAGTCTAATTGGGAGGTAATTTAGTGAGATGGGAGACAGGTGCTGCATCTCCTCTCTCTCTCACACACACACAGGGGAAAAAAAAGGCCCTGGGCCGTAACACTTCCCCTCTAAAACGGATAATTAAGGTTCACATACTTAATTACACTACGTCACATATGCTCCCCTACATACGGTGAACATCTGAAGCAACCCCTGCTTCTGAAATTCCCTTGGTGGAACAACATTCAGCGGGAAGGTGACAATCGGCGCTGGGTTGATGGTGCGCACTCGACCGTGCCAAAAGTCCCACATCCACTGATCACGCAGGGTTCAGCCGAACTCTCTCCTCGATGGTGACTCACTGTCTGCTCACTCAATTCTCCCAGACAGGATTCCATCAAAGTCTTTAACACAAAGAATAAGTCCACAGTGAGAAGATAATAAAATCTGACCTCCTTTTTCCAGAGTCACTAAGCAGGCTTCCACAGCAGGAGTGTTCCATCTGTGAAAACGGAAGGGGGGAGGGGGACCAATGGAGCGTCACAGACGCATGACATTCTGTCTCAATCTGTATTCCATATTCTGCGCTTCAGGCTGTGTGTGTGTGTGTGTGTGTGTGTGTGTGTGTGTGTGTGTGTGTGTGTGTGTGTGTGTGTGTGTGTGTGTGTGTGTGTGTGTGTGTGTGTGCGTGCGTGCGTGTGGGGGCCTTGTTCTGTGTGTACGAAGCAGTACAAGTGATAATGCTGCAGGATTTCATAATTTTATCCTTCTCAGCAGAAGCACTGCAGGTGCTCTCCATGTCCAAAATGTGCGTAAGCAAGGCCCTTAGTCAACTTAAAGTTGTGCACACTTTTCCACTAAGTTTTCTTTCATAAATCCCAAAGTTTGCGTGGAAAGTTGCTTACGCAGTTTTCCGCCCCCGTTTTGTGCGTAAGCAAGCTTGTCAAATGAGGCCCCAGCTCCTGTTCCATCCCTGACCCTGTTTTGTATATGTTAACCTATTTTGTCATAAATGAACAAATACTTCCAAAAACTATAGAATGTCATTTAAATGTTCTTAACAGATGTTTGTTCTGCTCCAGTAACTAACATGCTCATTGTTTCATTTCCCTTTTAGAAAAGCTATCATGCATTTCAGCACATAGAGAATATCAGGTAGTCCTGAAACGTGTCATGTAACAAAAAAATAACTGTAGAAAGAACACAGTTTAAGCAATAATCAAACATCTGATTACACCAAAAAATAAAACTTGTAAAATATATTTTCTATTATTTAAATATCTGAACTAATGGATTTATAAAGTTTCCACAATACACTTCATAAACACATTTTCCACTCATGCTTGATAACTGAAATAACCCATTTACTGTTATCACATCAAAGTAGCAAAAATCTTTTTTATATTTAAAGTAATTCCTTGTAATTCATCGCATAAAATTGTGTTTGATGTGAAATTTTCTCTAAAATGGTTTCTTGTGCTACCAAGATGACATGATTAAAAGGAACAGAAATATATAATAAAGTAAAATTGTTGCTCACAGAACAGCCAAATAATATATTTTGATATTTGAAAATCAATATACATCATTGTTTGTCCTGTGTGTCTCTGTGTTGCCCTGCGATGGACTGGCACTCTGTCCAGGGTGTACCCTGCCTGATTGCCCATTGGTTGCTTGAGATAGGCACCAGCCCCCACGCAACCCTACGTGGACAAGCGGGTTCAGACAATGGATGGATGGATGTTAGGGCTGCAACAACGAATCGATAAATTCGATGAAAATCGATTACTAAAAGCGTTGGCAACGAATTGCGTCATCGATTCGTTGTGTTGCACAACTCTTCCAAAAGCGCTCCCCCTTCCCGCCCGCCGTTGCGCGCAGACAGATCAGCACGAGGGAGAGCCGGCAGATCAGCGCGAGGGAGAGCCGGCAGTTGTTTGGAAGAGGAACATGGCAGAAGCAGCGAGAGTCAAAAAAGTAAAAGCTTTTTAAGTTTGGGAGCATTTTCAGTTAAATCAGGCAAAGACATGCGTTACCTGCAACGTTTAGGTCAGACTTAGCATGGCACAGGATGATGCAGCGTCTTAAACGCAAGCATGTCGGGATCATCAGCGAGGAAGGAGAGAACTCTGTGTCCGGGTAAATTAAAAACTTTTCAAAAGTTATTCATCCAAGTCCCGGATTATTACACAGGCTAGACATGCCCTAAACTCGTAAAAAAAGAGTCTAAAGTCGTGAGCGCGACGCTTATTAGATGAGCGGGGGGGGCTCGCGCTGCTGCGAACCGGTTCCGCCCAAGGCCGGATTAACTGGGCAATTGCCCAGGGCCCACGAACTCTAAAGGGCCCA